ACACTATGTATATTTTAAATAGTGCATTAAAACAAGGAAATTCGAAGACACTTTTCAATGCTAACAAACGGCACGATATCTGACCTTAAAATTGACTTAATTCACTATTGCTTAAAACGAGGAAATTCGCCTTCTAAAACCCTTAAAATATAGGAAGCGCGAAGTCACTTTTCAATGTTAACGTAAAGCCCGATTTCAGATCTTAATATTGACCCATAATATTTAAATTGGACCACATATTATATTACAGGGTAGTAGTGTACCCTAAAACAGGAAATAATTATAGATCAATTAGGGGGTACACAGCGCTACTCGAAAGTTTACTATGTATGCCTATGTTAAAATAAAGTGTTCTGAGAAGATTAAAATGAAGAAATAAGCCTTCTAAAATGCTTTACAAATTCAAAGACATCTTTCAATGGTGGCGTTAGTTAACATTGAATAGTGTCTTCGAATTTCTTTGTTTTAATGCACTATTTAAAATATACAGAGTGGACCCCCTAATTGACCTATAATTATTTCCCGAGGAAGGGTACACTATTACCCTATAATACAAAACCTGGTCCAACTAAAATATTATAGGTCAATATTAAGGTCTGATATTGCGCCTTGCGTTAGTTAACCATCGAAGGATGTCTTTGAATTTTTATAGCATTTTAGAAATCCTATTTCTTCATTTTAAGCTTCTCAGAACACTTTATTTCACATAGGCATACAAAGTAAACTTTAGGGTCACGCTGTGTACCCCCTAATTGACCTATAATTATTTCCTGTGGTAGGGTACACTATTACCCTGTAATATAATACGTGGTCCAATTTAAATATTATAGGTCAATATTAAGGTCTGATATTATGCCTTGCGTTAGTTAAACATTGAGAGATGTCTTTGAATTTTTATAGCATTTTAGAAGTCATATTTCTTCATTTTAAGCTTCTCAGAACACTTTATTTCGCATAGGCATACATAGTAAACTTTAGGGTCACGCTGTGTACCCCCTAATTGAAATATAATTATTTCCGGCAAAAGGGTACACTATTACCCTGCAATATAATACGTTATCCAATTTAAAAATTATAGGTCAATATTAAGCTCCGATACCGTGCCTTAGGGTCACGCTGTGTACCCCCTAATCTATTTATTTNCTTTGAATTTTTAAAGCTTTTTAGAAGGCTTATTTCTTCATTTTAAGCTTCTCAGAACACTTTATTTGACATAGACATACCTAGTAAACTTTAGGGTCACGCTGTGTAACCCCTAATTGACGTATAATTTTTTCCAGTTTTAGGGTACACTATTACCCTGTAATATAATACGTGATCCAATTTAAAAATTATAGGTCAATATTAAGCTCCGATTACGTGCCGTTAGTTAACATAGAAAAATGTCTTTGAATTTTTAAAGCTTTTTAGAAGGCTTATTTCTTCATTTTAAGCTATTCAGAACACTTTATTTGACATAGACATACCTAGTAAACTTTAGGGTCACGCTGTGTACCCCCTAATTGACCTATAATTATTTCCTGTGGTAGGGTACACTATTACCCTGTAATATAATACGTGGTCCAATTTAAAAATTATAGGTCATTATTAAGGTCCGATACCGTGCCGTTAGTTAACATAGAAAAATTTTTTTGAAACTTTAAAGCAGTTTAAAAGGCTTATTTCTTCATTTTAAGCTTCTCAGAACACTTTATTTCACATAGGCATACATAGTAAACTTTAGGGTCACGCTGTGTACCCCCTAATTGACCTATAATTATTTCCTGTGGTAGGGTACACTATTACCCTGTAATATAATACGTGGTCCAATTTAAAAATTATAGGTCAATATTAAGGTCCGATACCGTGCCGTTAGTTAACATAGAAAAGTGTCTTCGAATTTCCTTGTTTTAATGCACTATTTAAAATATACATAGTGTACCCCCTAATTCACCTATAATTATTTTCTGTTTTTGGGTACACTATTACTCTGTAATATAATACGTGGTCAAATTTAAAAATTATAGGTCAATATTAAGGTCCGATACCGTGCCGTTAGTTAACATAGAAAAATTTCTTTGAATATTTAAAGCTTTTTAGGAGGCTTATTTCTTCATTTTAAGCTTCTCAAAAGACTTTATTTCTCATAGGCATACATAGTAAACTTTATGGTCACGCTGTGTACCCCCTAACTGACCTATAATAATTTCCTGTGGTAGGGTACACTATTACCCTGTAATATAATACCTGGTCCAACTAAAATATTATAGGTCAACATTAAGGTCTGGTATCGAGCCTTGCGTTAGTTAACCATTGAAAGATGTCTTTGAATTTTTAAAGCATTTTAGAAGGCTTATTTCTTCATTTTATGCTTCTGAGAACACATTATTTCACATAGGCATACATAGCAAACTTTAGAGTCACGCTGTGTACCCCCTAATTGACCTATAATTATTTCTTGTGATAGGGTACACTATTACCCTGTAATATAATACGTGGTCCAATTTAAATATTATGGGTCAATATTAAGGTCTGATACCGTGCCGTTAGATAACATAGGAAAGTGTCTGCGAATTTCCTTGTTTTAATGCACTATTTAAAATATACATAGTGTACCCCCTAATTGACCTATAAATATTTCCTGTGGTTGGGTACACTATTGAACTGTAATATAATATGGGGTCCAACTTAAATATTATGGGTCAATATTAAGGTCCGAAATCGGGCTTTACGCTAACATTGAAGAGAAACTTCGCTTTCCTATCTTTAAAGGGCTTTAGAATTCGAATTTCCGCATTTTAAGCTCTTCCGAACACTTATTTTAGATACGCACACATAGTAAAATACAGGAACTCATTGTGTACCCCCTAATTGACCTATAATTATTTCCTGTGGTAGGTTACACTATTACCCTGCAATATAATACCTGATCTAATTAAAATATTATAGGTCAATATTAAGGTCCGATACCGTGCCGTTAGTTATCATTGAAAAGTGACTTCGAATTTCCTTGTTTTAAAGCACTATTTAAAATATACATAGTGCACCCCCTAATTGACCTATAATTATTTCCTGTGAAAGGGTACACTATTACCCTGTAATATAATATGTGGTGCAACTTTAATATTATGGGTCAATATTAAGGTCCGACATCGGGCTTTACGTTAACAGTGAAGAGGGACTTCCTGCTTCCTATTTTTAAAGATTTTTAGAAGGCGAATTTCCTCGTTTTGAGCAATAGTGAATTAAGTCAATTTTAAGGTCAGATATCGTGCCGTTTGTTAGTATAGAAAAGTGTCTTCGAATTTCCTTGTTATTTTAAGCTTCTCAGAACACTTTATTTTACATTGGCATACATAGTAAACTTTAGGGTCACGCTGTGTACCCCCTAATTGACCTATAATTATTTCCTGCGGTAGGTACACTATTTCCCTGTAATATAATATCTTTTCCAACTAATATATTAAAGGTCAATATTAAGGTCTGATATCTCACCTTGCGTTAGTTAACCATTGAAAGATGTTTTTGAATTTTAAAAGCATTTTAGAAGTCTTATTTCTTTATTTTAAACTTGTCAGAGCACTTTATTTCACATAGGCATACATAGTAAACATTAGGGTCACGCTGTGTTCCCCCTAATTGACCTATAATTATTTCCTGTGGTGGAGTACACTATTATCTTGTAATATAATACGTGGTTCAATTTAAAAATTATAGGTCAATATTAAGGTCCGATACCGTACCGTTAGTTAACATAGAAAAATGTCTTTGAATTTTTAAAGCATTTTAGAACGCTTATTTCTTCATTTTAAGCTTCTCTGAACACTTTATTTGACATAGGCATACATAGTCACATTTAGGGTCACGCTGTGTACCCCCTAATTGACCTATAATTATTTCCTGTGGTAGGGTACACTATTTCCCTATAATATAATACCTGGTCCTACTAAAATATTATAGGACAATATTAAAGTCTGATATCGCGCCTTGCGTTAGTTAACCATTGAAAGATGTCTTAGAATTTTTAAAGCATTTTAGAAGGCTTATTTCTTCATTTTAATCTCCTCAGAACACTTTATTTCGCATAGGCATACATAGTAAAATTTAGGGTCACGCTGTGTACCCCCT